GCCTGCAACCAGCAAGGTCATTAGGGTGGGGTCATTCAAGACCTTTGGAGCTAATGTGTCATTACAATCTGCCCTGGATGTTGGACATGGAGATACAGGATTTAATACTTGCCCTGCTGAGTATCAATCTCGCTTAGGTCTGATATCTTTATAAACCTCTATTCCCCTCTTTTGGATTGGGGATGTTTACCCTGTAAAATTGCATATTTGAAGTATTTCATTTTCTCTATGATTTTTCCACTGGGGCTCACAGCTAAGAAATTGCCTTAAGTCTCAGAGGAGACTGGGCTTGGATTTTTTTTTTTTTTTTTTTTTTTTTTTAGCAGTGATAGAACTGGTAAAGACTTTGGTAACCCTTACAGATGAACCAAATGCATTTTGCATAGTGAGATAGACATGAGTCTTTCAGGGACCAGAAATGGAATGTTGTGGATGAGATCTATAATTTCACCTGAAAGTTTCATATTTGAAGGTGGAATCTGCTTAGAAGGGTAAGGTCATTGGGGCTTTTATTACAATAATAGTATTTATTTGGAGTTGTTACTGATAAGAACTAATTTCTAGTTATATTAAAAATGATGATTATAAGGCTGGCCAGATAGCTCAGCAGACTAAAGCTCCTGCTTAGGCAGAGTGCAGTGGCTGGGGTTTGATGCTCAGCATGCCATGCCGGCCCTGCCCCTGGGGTGTGCTAAAATGGTGATTGAGACTGGGTGTGGCGGTGCGCACCTGTAATCCCAGGGCTTGGGAGACTGAAAACAGGAGAATCACTAGAAGTCTAATCTGTATAGGGAGACCTTGTAGACTCCATAGACCCTGCCCTAAATACATTAAAAAATGATGATTATAGAAGAGTATATTCTAACATCTGCCTCTTATCTCTGTGTTTCCTGGCTGTCATGGCATAGAAGCTTTCCTCTGTCACGCACTTCCACCTTTCCATACCTGCCTTGGAGCCAGTCAAATTTGGACTGAACCCACCATAAACAATAAGCTAAATAAATTTCTCCTTTAAGCTGTGCTTATTGGGGGTTCTGTCCCAGGCATTGGAAAGCTAACTGATACATAATTGACTATACAAAGAAAAGTTTTTCTTTCTTTCTCTCATAGAGAAGGATTTCTTTTTAAAGGTAGGATGAGCTTGACTATATTTAGAAATTGAAAAGCAAGAGGCAAAGTAGAGAGAAAAATAGAAGACATAGGAGAGATTTTAGATGATGGCCCTCAAGGTCTGAAGAGATATGAGAGAGTAAAATCAAGAACATATAATAGCCTTGCATGAGATAAGATGTTTCTCATACCCAACTGTGAGGACACAGAAAAGTACATGTGTTCCATATAACATTCTCTATTTTTTTATGGAATAAAATAAATATTGCTAAAACTGAAGAAAGGTGGGATCATAAGTTTTATTTAAAAGAAAAAATTTAAAGTAACTATTGTGAGGATGGAAAGAAGACTGTGTACCTACAGATAGGTTTCCAAGCAATAATCTATCTGAAATTGAAAGTCTATCTGAGGTTGAAAACTACATGTTTTTTTCATGGCACCAACACACAGAACTATATAGATTATTTTTTCTAGTACACCTGGATAGCGTGGCCCCAAGTTCCTAGGACAGCTATAATATGGTATATGAGATGATTGAGATGGCATTTAATCTCAGTCAAATGGCCAAGAAGTGATTAGGGTGATTGATATTGAAGAATTAATGGGAATATTAAGGTAATATTTTTTCTTTCTGATATGGCTACAAAGATGAAGTAGTTTCAGGCTTTTTCAAATATCCACTGAAAAAAATTAGTGGCCCACTGGAACCACAATAGGATCAGGACTATATATTATTAATGGCTTTTTTGTGACTTTATGAATGGAGGAGAAAATAAATACATACAAGAATTATTTCTATAATCATTTTTAATATAACTAGAAACTAGTTTCTATCAGTGATAGCTCAAAATAAATACTATTATTGTAATAAAAGGGCAAGACATCAGAGCTTCAACAACTCTAGGATTCTAAGCTCCTTGTATCATTTGTGACCACAGTAGCTATGCTTCAATTTCTTTAACATAATTGCAGTATGTCATAAGATTTAATTTGGAAAAAAAGTTTTGTTGCCCTAAAATTCTGTTTAAGGTCAGTACTCTGAAGAATAAATCCTATCTAGACAGTATAGCTTTCTTTTCAAGAGAAAAACTAAATAATCTATGAAGAAACATGAAAAAATGTAATGTTTAATTTATATAATATCTTAAGTCCAGTAGGTATTATTACTGTATTTATGAAACTCCCTTGCAGGTTTTGATTTCTTCTTTGGCCAATTCTCACATTCCTTTCTTTTCAAGTTACCAAGTATTTATCAACTGAAAAAGGATAAACAAAATAAAATATATCCATCCATGCAATAGAATACCACTCAGTAATAAAAAAGTTAACTATTGATACATTCTACATGGATAAACCTCAAAAACATATGATAAGTAAAGGAAGATTCAGAAAACCACATAGCATGTGACTCTATTACTATGATATGTAAAGAAAAGTTAATTTATAGAAAGAGATTAGTGACTGAGGCTGAAAGTAAAAGTAGGGTTTGACTATAAACAAGAAAGATAAAACTTTTGGTTAATCAGTTTATTTTTTAAAATGTATTTAGTACAGGGTCTACTGGGTCTCACTACTTAGATCAGACTCGTAGTGATTCTCCTGTTTTCAGCCTCCCAAGTGCTGGGATTACAGGTATGACCTACCACACCCAGTCTCAATGGCCATCTCAGCAAGCCCCAGGGGCAGGGCTGGGAAAGCATACTGGGGATTGAACCCCAGCTACACTCTGCCTAAGCAGATGCTTTAGTCATTGAGCTATCTGGCCAGCCCTACTTTTGGTTAATCAGAGTGTTCTAAAATTAAATTGTGCTATACAACAGAAGTCATCCACTTCTATCTATCTAACTGAAATATTGTATTATGAAATATACACTTTCCCAGTTCACCAGTATGAAACCACTCATAACTACCATTCTACTCTGCTTCTTTAAGTTCAATTTATTTGTAGATTCACAACATATGGGGTACTGGTCTTTCTTTGCCAGTCTTATTTACTTAACTTAATGTACTCTAGGATCACACATGTTGTTGAAAATGACCTTATCGCCAGAACTTATCTTCTGTCCTTTTGATAAAAGCCATTTTGACAAGTTGTAAGGAAATATTTCACTGTGGTTTAGTTGGCAGTTTTTGAATGATTAATAGAGTTGAGCATTGTTTGCTGCAGTCGCTAGTCATTTGTATATTTTCCTTGAGAAATATCTGGTCAGGTCCTTCATCAATTTTCTAAATCAGGTTATGTTTTTATTATTGAGTTGTTGGAGTTTCCTATATACTTGGGATATTCACTCTTCTACATGAGCAGCCCATATAGCTGATATTTCTTGAAAACTAACATTGCACAAGAAATAATTACTCATGGCAAAAAATTAATAGCAAATGTAAAAAAAAATCCTTGTATAGCATCAAGACAACATTAAGTATATTATATCTTTGAAAATTGTTCTGTGTTCTTACTGAAAAGTGCTGTGCGATGTATTATATATGTTAATTAGATTTAGCTATGCCATAATGTATACAAATTTCATTCATAATAAATCTATATGATCTTTATTTATCATCCTAATAAATAAATGAAAAATTTAAAAACTTGTTTTCAAAATAGAAAAAAAATAAATTGTGGGTGCTGGTTATACAAATCTGTAAATTTATAAAAATCATTAAATTACAGTTATAGTAGGCATATTTTAGTACGTGCAGATTATACTTAACTTAAGCTAATTTTTAAAAATCATAGGGCCAGCAATTTAGTTCAGCGGTGCAGTGCCTGCCTAGCAAGAATGAGGTCCTAAGATCAATTCCTGTTACAAAAAAAGAAGAGTAAAAGAAAAGCAAAAACATAATGCCAATCATTCTGTTCTGACTCCATAAAACAAATAAATCAAAATAAAACAAACCAAAAGAAAAAACTAATGAAGAATAAAATTCTGCCCCTATAAGATGACTCAAGGCAGTGGTTACAATGGAACACGTAGTCTCCACCTGTATTCACCACCACATACATGTAAAACGAGTTTGTTTTCATCTGGGTATCCTTGATTAAATGGTGACATTATAAAATTTTGTTGTATCTTGAATATCGATGGGTATGACTTTTGATAACTATGAAATAAGTCAACATTTAGAAAATGAGTATAAATCAATAGTGATATTTCCTAATGACCAATCTCTGATGTTACTAAACCATGCACATATAAAAGATCTATATGAAGTACATGAGAGACTAATAGATTTCAATGTAACAGTAGAACGTGGCTTCAGATTTCACATCACAACCAATATTTAAGAAATGTTGGGCCAGCCAAATAGTTTAGCAGATTAAAGCGCCTGCAAGCAGGTGCAGGGGCTGGGGATTTGATCCCCAGGCCTGCTGTGCCGGCCC